CCCTAAACCCTCAAACCCTGAATCCTCAACTCCCAACCCTAAACCCTCAAACCCTAAACCCCAAACCCTAAACCCCCTGAGCCCCTTTCTTTCAGCTGAAGCCCAGGGCCTCCCCGGGGTGGCGAGCAAAGGGAGCTCCTCCGCAAGCGAGGCTCTCCGGCTGTCCTGGTGACGGTTTAGGGCTTAGGCCTTTGGGAGTTTAGGGGTTTAGGGTGTAGGGTTCAGGGCTTTGGGGGGTTGAGGGTTTGACGGTTAGGGTTTGGGGTTTAGGGTTCAGGAGTTCCGTGGGTTACAGTACAAGCACAAGGGCCTTATAACTTACAATGGGGTTTGTATAGCAATACCGGAAGGAATACGAATAGGGACTACAGGCGGATACTTTCAGCCATTTTTCTGACACCCCTCCGGTTCTGCTAGGTCTCTGAGGGGTAGCGGATGGGAAGTTTGGATGGCTTCTTGGGGCCTCGTCAGTGCAGGAATATGCAGGCTCTTGCAGCTTTTAGATAGTCTGGTATGTTGTATTGAGGGCTAGACAGGCTGCTGGGGCTTGCGGGTATGTACTCGAAGAGGTGGTATTTGGCCATCATCAAGGGCAGCACAGCGTTTTGGAGTTTAAGGCTAGGGCTTCTAGCGTGTTGGCATTAGGGTTAGGATGGTTAGGGCTTACAACGCGTAGGGCCTAAGGGGCATGACTCCGCCCGAGGGTCCTGAGATGAAACCCAAATCCCCAGTCTAATTTGCCCTAAAGGGTGCTTCACCCCGGCAGAGCGTGGGGTTCGCTGCCGATCTAGCCTAGATTCAACCAACACGACCCGAGATTAATTATTCAAGCCATAGGAGCCTTATTACTCGGAGTCGGGCTTGGGGGATTTGATCAAGAATCCTGAGAGAACGATGTTCAACTATTCGGGCTTCTCCCACTCTCTCTATCTCTCTATCTATCCATCCATCCACCCATCCATCCATCCATCTATCCCTAAACCCTAAACAGCACGGCTTCCACGCCTGCCCGTCATCGTTCACCGATGTGTCCGAGACGAGAAGCTTGGCCTTCTCGAGCATGGCCTCTCGGCGCATGGCGGTTCTTGAAGGGCTCGGCCGAGGATTCTCTGGTTTGTCGTTCTTAAAAAGGGTACACAAAATATGAGAATTACAACAAATATATATATATATATATATATATATATACATATATATATATACATATATATATATATATACATACATACATACATACACACGCACTAAGATACTATAAGATACTTTAATAAACTATAACAAACTATAGTATACACTAATATACTACAGGATACTATACTATATACCATATTATACTATAAAGTACTATAATCTACTATATAATCTACTGGCCGAGTTTGGGGTTTCGAGTCCAGGGTTTCTTTTCATCGTTCAGGCTTAGGTTTCCGTCGAAGGGTGTAGTAGGGCTTTAGGAGCTTCGGGGTAGCTGCTCAACATAACAAAACCAGGGTTAGGTTTTTGAGCCCTCCTTAATTCCTTCTGCCCATCCGGTTAGTTGGAGGGTTTAGGGTTTCGGCGGAAGCAAGAGCCACAGCGAGATCCGTCGAGATACCATACAAGCAGCATCAAGAGCTTCAAGTAACTGCCGACAAGCATGCATACTATGGGGCAATACATCATTACCAATACCAGTTTGGGTGTTACTTATTAGAGTTAGAGTTACAGTATAATGGGCCCCAAACCCTATTCTTATTAGTAAGGCCCCTATGTTATACTACCCTTATAGATCCCTTATAGTAGCCCTTATCGACCCCTGGAAAGGAACCCTATTCTAAATTCAATTATTAAGACCCCGATAGCTCTGTACGAGCCTCCTTCCCTACGGAACTCCGCTTCTGGCCGTCGGCCCCGCGTTTTGCACCACGGTAGCTCCTCTGTGCAGGTCCCCTGAATGCTCAGATGCTAGCGGCAAGCCTTAATTCATGACGTCCTCTAAAATGAATCCGTTAAAAACTGACACTGTCGCTTCAACCGAGGCCTACGGAAGCTTACTGCAAGGGTGTCGGCACTTTGATACCAGCTACAAGCCTTCACACTGCAACTCCACCATCCAACTCCAAACGGGGTTGTATAACAACCCCGTATAATGGTCCTCATGTCGTTGGGGAAATATATACAATCCCAAGGAGCCTTGCATAACTCTCCTCCGGACGACAGTGTGACATCTCTTAGGCAATTAACGTCTGGCTTAGAGAGGCTTGCAGCTTGCCCTACCAACGACCCTCCCAACAGCTCACAGAAATCTCTGCAGGTTTTGGCTCAAGTCGCCAGCGAATCTCCGAAGAGGCCAGGATGAAAGTCTGTACAAACGGCTGAGCGCGATTCAATCCTGGAAGTCCCAAGCGTGACAAGAGCTTCACTGATTCAAAGCTACTGGAGCTGCATGAAAATCATGAAACACGGGGCTGATGCCTTGACAGGCTTGGGAACAAAAGTGTCTGCACAGCTTCACTGCAGGAGTCCGCGAGTCTACACAACAGACGCTGGAAACCCTAAACCCTAAACCCTAATCTCGGAGATTGAAGCAATTCACCAAGAATCTAAAGTCTCCTCTGCACGGGAAGCTGTGGATTACTGCTTGCAAGCACAGCAAACCTAGCGCAGGCGCAGCACCAAGTGCAGGGTGCTCTCCTAGGTATCGATTTCAACACCTCAACACGCTTTACTATACTACGAGCTATGAACTCAACCCGTAAAGGAAAACTCAACACAAAAAACAAAAAACATCCCAGATCGGTACCCGAAACGCCTTCTGGATGTTATAGTCTGACAGCGTGCGCCCGTCTTCCAGTTGCTTTCCAGCGAAGATGAGGCGCTGCTGGTCAGGCGGGATACCCTCCTTGGTTCACAAGCAGAGAACTTTGAGCTTGTCATGCAAGCAACTCCAAGCAACGCATGTAAAAAAAACCCTGCAACTCTATGTAACCGGATAGACTAAGATCGAAAAAACTAACATCATCACCCAAGGACCTTGTCTTGAATCTTGGCCTTCACATTATCGATAGTGTCTGAGGCCTCGACGGGCGAAGGATATAGAACCACGTTTCAAATAGATTCTTGATCTTGTCAAGACTTGGCTTTGATGCTTCTACACCTTCTCTTGATCCGACTTGATTTTGTTGATGCCTGTCCCGGTATCCCTGCCTCTACGTCAAGGGTGATAGTCTTGCCAGTCAACGTCTTGACGAAGATCTGCATGCCACCACGCAGGCGCAGCACCAAGTGCAAGGTGCTCTCCTAGGTATCGATTTCAACACCTCAACACGCTTTACTATACTACGAGCTATGAACTCAACCCGTAAAGGAAAACTCAACACAAAAAACAAAAAACATCCCAGATCGGTACCCGAAAGGCCTTCTGGATGTTATAGTCTGACAGCGTGCGCCCGTCTTCCAGTTGCTTTCCAGCGAAGATGAGGCGCTGCTGGTCAGGCGGGATACCCTCCTTGGTTCACAAGCAGAGAACTTTGAGCTTGTCATGCAAGCAACTCCAAGCAACGCATGTAAAAAAAACCCTGCAACTCTATGTAACCGGATAGACTAAGATCGAAAAAACTAACATCATCACCCAAGGACCTTGTCTTGAATCTTGGCCTTCACATTATCGATAGTGTCTGAGGCCTCGACGGGCGAAGGATAAAGAACCACGTTTCAAATAGATTCTTGATCTTGTCAAAACTTGGCGTTGATGCTTCTACACCTTTCTCTTGATCCGACTTGATTTTGTTGATGCCTGTCCCGGTATCCCTGCCTCGACGTCAAGGGTGATGGTCTTGCCAGTCAACGTCTTGACGAAGATCTGCATGCCACCACGCAGGCGCAGCACCAAGTGCAAGGTGCTCTCCTAGGTATCGATTTCAACACTTTAACACGCTTTACTATACTACGAGCTATGAACTCAACCCGTAAAGGAAAACTCAACACAAAAAACAAAAAACATCCCAGATCGGTACCCGAAAGGCCTTCTGGATGTTATAGTCTGACAGCGTGCGCCCGTCTTCCAGTTGCTTTCCAGCGAAGATGAGGCGCTGCTGGTCAGGCGGGATACCCTCCTTGGTTCACAAGCAGAGAACTTTGAGCTTGTCAGAGAGGCTTATGCAAGCAACTCTAAGCAAGGCATAGAAAACCAACCCTGCAACGCTATGTAACCGGATAAACTAAGATAGAAAAAACTAACATCATCACCCAAGGACCTTGTCTTGAATCTTGGCCTTCACATTATCGATAGTGTCTGAGGCCTCGACGGGCGAAGGATATAGAACCACGTATCAATTAGATTCTTGATCTTGTCAAAACTTGGCTTTGATGCTTCTACACCTTCTCTTGATCCGATTTGATTTTGTTGATGCCTGTCCCGGTATCCCTGCCTCGACGTCAAGGGTGATGGTCTTGCCAGTCAACGTCTTGACGAAGATCTGCATGCCACCACGCAGGCGCAGCACCAAGTGCAAGGTGCTCTCCTAGGTATCGATATCAACACTTCAACATGCTTTACTATACTATGAGTTATGAACTCAACCAGTAAAGGAACACTCAACACAAAAAAACAAAAGCATCCCAGATCGGTACCCGAAAGGCCTTCTGGATGTTATAGTCTGACAGCGTACGTCCGTCTTCCAGCTGCTTTCCAGCGAAGATGAGGCGCTGCTGGTCAGGCGGGATACCCTCCTTGGTTCACAAGCAGAGAACTTTGAGCTTGTCAGAGACGCTTATGCAAGCAACTCTAAGCAAGGCATAGAAAACCAACCCTGCAACGCTATGTAACCGGATAAACTAAGATAGAAAAAACTAACATCATCACCCAAGGACCTTGTCTTGAATCTTGGCCTTCACATTATCTGTCAGGGTGAACATGACGTGGTAGCAGCCACCATGCTGGACCGCTCCACATGAAGCAACCAATCAGTCAGTGCTTGTGCAAAAACTGAACCATGCCAAAAAGAAATGCAGTCCATGGAGGCCTAGCGCGCACGCGAGGCCGACGACGAAGAAGCAGTGCCGCCAAGCTGCCTCTTGCAATTCGAACGTATGGCATAGTAAGGCCATTCGGCCCATCTGCCGAGCATAGAGCAATCTCTGCACTTCAGCTGACCGACGGTATCAGCTTCGTGCCCCACAACTATGTAGTGCTTTCCGCGAGCAACAGCATCACGGTTGTGACACAGCAGCTTCAGCACCTGGTTACGTCGCACTCCAGTGAGGCCCTCAAGTTGGGCAGCTTCAGCAACACTGAGGTCTGACACAGCAAGCTTGGGTTGTCTTGCAACCGCACGCGCCTTCGGGACTGGAGCTGCAGGTGCAACAACGCCGACCACACCAGGTTGTTTGCCACGAACTCGCCGTTCAGGAGGTACAGGAGAAGGCTGGCAGACCTGAACCAGGCCAGCTTGGCCGTCAGCAGCACACGCAGAAGAAGAGGCGCTGGCTAACGAGACTGCAATGTCTCTGTCGCGTCTCCACCGCCTTGCAGTTTCGAAGCCAATCGGAGCAGAGCTGCGCCACAGAGGCTCTGGAGGTCGGTCGAAGTTGGGCTGCCACTTGAGTTGCCGCTGAGCACCAGAGGTAATCGGGACTTCAAGGTGAGCCCGAACCCAAACTGCACAGTAGTGGCGCCAAAAGTCCGCAGGCAGACTGAACCGCCCCGCCACACCTGGAGCAGTCTGAAAACGAAGTCGCCGAAGCACGTCGGGGAGCGCCACGTGGTCACCTGGGCAAAGGCGCGCGCCAAGGATGCCACTCAGACGCTTCGAAGCAACAGTGAAGAAGTGGGCCCGCTGTTGCAGAGTGGTCCTCGTAGCAGCAGTGTCCATGTCCGGCACCAAACCTGTGAGCAGCTGAAAGGCAATTGCAAGCTCACAAAACGACGTGGCGGCGACTGTTTCATCACCGACAGCAACTTGATCCACCCATTCAAGGCTGGCCCAAAACCAGTAGAGAGGTTCTATGAACCCCGAACCATACCGCCACGGGAGATGGTCAGGATGGCCCTTGTGTCGATCGCAAGCACTAGGCGCTGCCCCAATCCGCTGTGGCAAAGGAGGCAGGGAGCATCGAGCACCGCCGGCAGGTCGATCCCAACAGTACCTGGGAAGCGCAAGCTGAGGCTGCGCAAAAACGTCTTGCGTCTGCAGCTGTCGGCGAGGTTCTCCTTCAGGAAGAGTCTGTGCAGCAGCAGACGACGCACCACAAGGTTCAGCAGCAGGAGCACTGTCACACACAGGGCCTTGGGGGTCAGCAAGCAGTTGTCGTTGAGTCCAGGCCAGAGTGCGGGCTTCATGCACCGCAAGCAACGTGCGCTGCATGAGCTTGGTCACAAACTCACGCCGCCGAAAGAGGTCCTTAGCCGCAGCAGGGACGTCATGGAGCGCTGCTCCCTGGACCGCTAGGCGATCAGCCTCAGTGTTCCAGCAGGCCTCCTTGAGCGTGGCCCTGCCGGTTGCAATGTCAAGCTCGTCCGCGTGACCCTTGACAAAGGAAACTTGCAGCAGGTCCACACCGCGTTCGTCAAGCACCTGGCGAAGAGCACTCCAAAGGTCAACGTGGTCAGCCCAGGGCTGCGCAGAGCCGCACAGGAGCTTCTCGAAACCCACAACCACAGCCTCGTTGTCGCAGAGGTACTCGGTCAAGCACGGCGTCCACCTAGCAACTCGAAGCAGTGCGCGTAGCTCAGCTCTGTCAGAGTCCTGCACCGGGCCCTCAAGTGCGCACGCAAAGTTGAGAGGGTGCGCAGGCCCGAAGAAAGCACCAAAGCCAGCACGTGCCAGGAGGGTGCCCTGGTTTGCGCAGGCACCGTCGCCAGCGACAACCAAGCGGCCTCCACGAAACCACTCCTCCACGGACTCGTCGTTGTCGTAGTCGGCAGGCACCGGGTCGGCAAGGGTGCAGGGCGGCAACCGTGAGTGCAGCGCAACCAAGGAGGGCTCGACCGGGAGGATGCCAGCGTTCCAAAAGCAAGGGGCCCAACTGTCCCTTTCAGCCTGAGAAGTCTTGGCAAGGAGCTCCTTGCGACAGTCAGCAAACTGCGGGCACTCCTTGGAGACGTGAAGCGAAGTCTCAGGTACTCCCAAAGTGCAGTGCGGACACGTAGGGTCTCCGCCACGGTGTTTAGCAGAACGTTCTTCAGTTGCAACCCGGCCCTCCCAAAGAAAACGAAGTCTGCTGCGCTGAGTCGCGTCCAAGGTGGAGCCACGGAGCAGAGCAGTAGTGACCACGTAGTCGACCCCAGCCTGGATGCCCTGCAAGTCCTTCCTGGCTGGCACCAGTGAGAACAGGCTCTGCCGAATGGCCATGCGGAGGCCATGTTGGAACCACCCCTTGACCGGAGAGCACAGGTCCAAAGCACCGTGACGAGTCTGGACAGTGAAGGGCTCTTCCCAGGTCCACTGCAGTTTTTGGCACTGCCTTCTCAGGTGGCAGCACACACCAGCCTCGTCCCACAAAGAGTGGGTGTCACGAAACTCCCACACCTCACGAAGCAGCTCCCGGGCCATCGGCAAGCGGAGGAGCTGACGACGAGCCATGTCAAAAGCCTGGTAGGGGACGGCCATCTCCAGGAAGAGCCTGTGCCCACGCCAAGCCAAGCCCATGCTGGTGTACTTGCACCGGAGGGCACGCTGACCACAAAGAGCTTGGAGCAAGTTCTGGTCGAAGTCGTGGGCCACTGACGACGAAGGCTCCTCCAGCTCCAAGCCGTAGCGGGCGCCCGATGTCTTAAGCGAGAGGAGCGTGGCTTTCTCCTCCAAGGGCACCGGGAGCTTGACGATGGGGTGAATCTCAGTCTGAGCTGCAATCACCCGCTGGTCTTGTAGCGTCCGGTCAGGCTGGTTGTCCATGGGGATGAGTACTCCTAAGAGCTTGTCCACCGAGACCTGTCGAAGGAGCTGGCCGCGCGAGCACAATGTAGGCGTAGAGCAGGGGACAGTGAAGCCGACGGTTTTCTTGTGCCCCACCTTCTGCCCAGTCAAAGTGTCAAAGCGGTCATTCGCGTCCATGGAGCATTGCTGTTCAGCCTTTGACCTTGCCACAACCAAGCAATCATCGTAGTAGTTGCCCACAAAGGCCCTGGGCAGGATGTTGAGCTGCCGACGCACCCACACGCCCATGACCAAGGAGACTCTCCGAACACTGCTCGAAAGCCCCTGCCTGAACGAGTTGGTAGCTGACCAAAAGGGCCCGATGAGAGGTCCTAGCCGAAAGGCTGTTTGCAGCTGACGGTTCAGCCGGCAATCGGCTTGGGACCACTTGCTGGGGAAGCCGGTGTGTTGCTCCAAAGCAAAGGTGATTGCCCAGGGGAGTCGATCAAAGCATTTCTCCCTGTCAAGGAGGTAACCGGCCTTTTCCTCCGAGTAGCAGTGAGCATGCTCCAACAGAAGAGCGACGACCCAGGCAACATCCATGGTCGTGCCGCCGGCTCGTGCTCCCCTCATCTCAACCGGAAGCAAGGAGTGCAGCCAGGACTTGGTAAGGCCAAAGATGGCCTTATCCCAACAAACGTTCCAAAGCGACAAGCAGGTGAGAGGCCGTTGATCTTCAGGAAGTCCGGAGTCGTTCTTCGGCAGCATGGGCACAGTGCCAAAGAGCAAAGGCGGCGGCCAGTCAGCTCCATGAGCCACGGTGTCCAAGCATGCTTGACGAGCACAAAAGGACACCTCAGGAAGCAGATGCCCTTCAGCAGTGGTCCAACCGTCGGTGCCACCAACTTTGGTGGAACCACGAGTGCGAACGGCATGCGCAAGGGCTCCAGAAGGCAGGGCATCCGGACAGGAAGCACGCCAATCCTGGAGTTCAGCAGCATACTCATTGGCAAAATCGTGCCAGTCAGGTTCGGGCTTGGTCGCATACATGGAGAAGAGAGGTTGCCATGCCTTCAACAACATGTCATGCATGCGACTAACGACAACAGTGATCTCGCCAGTGGCCTTGTCAACGAGGTGTGTGGTCTGTTTGTCCTGGGGGCCCTTGAGGTGCTTGCAGGCATGCACAATGGAGCGCATCTTTTTGCACCAGGCGGTCTTAGCAAGCTGGTTGCGTAAAGCTGCAGCCGTAGCACGTTCATGTAGGGCTCGATCCAGACGAAGTTGCAGCTCCTGCCACCACGTGGTACCAGCCGGGAGGGAGCAGTCGAGTGCAAGGAGGCCGGAGAGAAAGTACCGGAATTTATCGCAGCCAAGCCTCCAACGGGTTTCCAGTTGAATGTCAGAGGTCACGGAGTTCACGGCCTGAAGTTGCAGAAGAGACCGAAGCCAAGCCACAAAGGAAGTCCAGGCGTGATCATAGCCAAACTCCCGACGTCCTGCAGGCTGAGACTGAAGCACTTTGGGCACACCCCCACGGCCAACAGTGGCCTTGGGGTCAGCAACACCAGCAAACTCCAATCGCATTTGGAGGCACTCCGCATCGAAGGCCTCGCACACTTGCCACGCGGAGGTGGTGTCCTTCCTGTCAAGGGCCACGTCGAAACTGGCAGCGAAGGTAGATTGCCAGGTATCATGGGCCCATTCCTCGTAAGTGTCGAGGTCTGGTTGTGCAAGTTGAGGCAGCTGGGGCATACGCTTAGGAGCCCGCAGCCTCGTGATAGGTCCAGTGTTCATGCCAAGGTGGAGGTCAATGTCCAAGGCTGCATGCTGAAAGCCTGGGAGCCACTGGAGCCGTACATCCAAGACCAATCCTGCAGCAGCCGGGTTTGCGAACACAAAGTCGATGCGGCTGTTTGGATTAGCATTGGCCGGGTTGGTCTTGAAAGTGCCTCCCAGACCAGCTGCAAGGTCAGTCCACCCCAGTTTGACCAAGGCGCGCATGGTGTCGCTCTTGTCAAACTCCAGGTTAGCATCCATGCACAGGAAGATGGGTCGGTGCCTGTAGGCTCCCAGGTGGCTAAGCAAGGCCAGCAGGAGCCTCTCCGATTCAGCACGTTTGTTGTTGCAAGCATTGGCGCCAGCGATGCCGTAGAAGGAGAGAACAGCGAAGCCATGGTCCACACGAGAGGTTTCCACCCAGGCTCCAGCTACCCGAGTGGAGGTCCAAAGATGATCCATCTCGGAGTCGAAACCGTCAGTGAAGAACTCCTTCGACACCACCGGTCGGAGAGCGGCCACCATGGTGCCAGATCCTTGGCCACGGGCAGGTCCCGGAGGGCTCCAAAAGGAGCGCAAACCATGTGCAGCAAAGTGTTTCTGCCCATCGAGGACGTCCTTGGCATCAGCCCAGGTCTCCTGCACAGCAATCACATCAGCAGCATTGTCCGACCAAAGGAGGGATTTTTTGTCCCAATGTCGCAGGCCACCCATGTTGTGAGAGCGGAGCCTGATGTTGTGCACCGCCCGGGCCAAACCGTAGCCTTTCGCAGCTCTGCGCCGATGGCCGGGGAGATCAGCTTCTCCCAAACGAATTCCAAGAAAACTCACCTGCCAATTGACAGGCTGTGTCGCCAAAATGGCGTAACTGAAAACAACGAGGCCCAGGAACAGAAGGAGGCCAGCATGTCGAGCCAACCACCTCCAAGTAGCCGAGAAAATCCCAAAATCTCTGATGCCACCATTGGCCTTGGAAGAGAGGCGAGGCCGAGGCCTCGATCGAACTAAAGATCTTCGAGCCGACAAACGGGAGCATCTCGAAGAAGACCTGCAAGATGAGAGTCGCGGGCCGGTAAAAGGTCGGCGGCCACACTCTCTAACACCATCCGTCTCAAGCCGAGTGCCATCACCCTGTACGCATAGACCACAATCGGCAGCAGCAAGTGGCGAGACAGCTGAATTGCTATACAAAAGAAAGGTGGGCCCAGGTGGAACCACATCACCCATGGGCACCTCAAGACAAATCTTGTCCCTCGCAAACACAATCTCATTCGACTTCGCAGCATTCGATTTCACAGCAAGCTCAGGCCCTAGTCAAGCCGAAGGGGCTTTAGCACCAGAGTCACCGGGGGACACCTTGGCCTTGGCCGCCGCACTCTCAGGAAAGTCACTGGAGCGCTTCTCCCCAGAGGGGCCGTGAGCCTGCAACATCGCCATCATCGAAGACATTTGGCCCATGAGGTCATGATGTCGGGTGGCCGCGGTGTCGTGTACATTCTGAAACTCCTGCCGGGTCTGGGCCTGGAACTCCTTCTGCGAGGTTTGGAGGTCCTGCAGCTTGCGATCCTGCACCTGCTCCCAGATAGCTTGCTGATCAGTCAAGGCCTTCTGGAAGGAGGCGAGCTTGCTGTCGACTGCATTCTCGATCCACTGCTGCTGGGCTGCGGCATCTTCGGCATTCTTGTCGATGGCCTGGCGTAGCTGGGTCTGGGCCTGTGCAGTCAGCTCAGTTGCAACCTGTGCCAAAGCAGAGTGCTTGGCGGAGCCAGGTTTCGCCTGGGATCGTAGAAAGACATCCAAGGCACCAGCTGCAGTAGACGCCGGGGCTGACTGGGCACCGGCCATCTCGGCATCGAACTGGGTAGTCTCGTCATCGAGGTCGGGGTCGTAGCCATCGAGGTCCATGTTCGTAGCAGCGGCGTGCGGCACCGGAGTCAGCAGCTTGCTCCAATCCTTAGGCGCAGGTCGGCTGGCTTTGGCAAAGGAGATGTCAGCAACTGGCCCCTTTTCCTGGCGACGGTGCTTGGGGATGATCTGCCGAATGGTCACCACCTCAGAGCCCATGATGATAGACCAAGCATCTTGTCCACCAATCAAGTAGTCAGCGGGCGGAGGCGTCGCAGCACGGATGACAGCCTCCTTCTTCCGAAAGGAGATGACCTCCTCAATCTCCCAAAGCAGCCGAGCTTGAAGAAAGTCCGAAAGCTGGCCGACCTTAAGGTGAGGGACGCCCGTCATGCGCCACAGCAGGTCAGTGGGGGCCTGCTCCTTGCCAGTCAACTTCAACCGCGCAGCAGCTTCGTGAGCACCCTGAACACGCAGCATAAGGCGCTTGCCCCAGACCTCGAAACCCTCGGCACCCTCAGTCTCACGAAGTGTGGTCAGGATCTTGTCGAGGTTCCAGTCGTCGCCCGGCACCGCAATCAAGGGGCGCAAAGAGCGCTCAGATTCCTTGGCGATATCAGAAGCAAACTTGCGCTCAAAGAAGATGCCGTCCTGCCCGGATGCACGGCGAATGGCCTCCTCATACTGCTGGGGGATACGGATCAAAGAGTCGATGCATCCCCCTTGACTTTCGGAATCCCCATGCTTACGGCCACTCCAAGCTTCAACCTCAGCAGCCTCCTTGAGCTTGAGCTTGGCGAGCAGGAGGGTCTTGAGGAGCTCGGAGAGATAGGCCGCCGTAGTCACCTTGCGTCCAGTCGCAGATGGCTTAGAGGGCTGGGGTTCACAGCAGGCTTGCCAAATTTCAGTCGGAGCCCAGGTCTGTCGCACTTGCATGTTCCATGTCTGGTACGACTCAAATTCCTCTTCCAAGTCGAAGACCGCCGGTGACGGAATTGTGAGGGGTTCCGAGCCAACCTGAAAAGCAACCATTTTGCGTACCATGCGCCGGGTGCCCTGGCAAGTGGGCACAGCCACCTCAGCACCAGAAGCCAGCAGCTGAGTGTCGAGCCAATGAGCAGCGTTCGCCTTGAGGTTGCCAAGCACAAGCACAGCCAAAGGCGCAGGCCACGGGTCCGCACGAAGTTCACGGACGATCTCCTCAGCAGCTTTGCTCTCCGCCAGGTAGATTCCAGTAAGGCATGGGCCACTATTGCGCTTCAAGGTGGCAAGCACATGCAAATTGCCAAGGCCAGCAGCATCAAGGGTCACCGGGGTGGAGGCATCACCACCAGAGCCAGGGCGCCTGCCAGCTGCCAAAGGATGGCCATGAGAGCCTTTGCCCTTGCCCTTGGCAAGGGAGGAGTCCACAGCTACACCATTCTTATTCTGGCCACCACGAGCACTTTTAGGTGGCTTCTGGTCATTCCTGCGGTAGGTGCTGCTGAAGGCAACCGGCGGGTCGCACTTATTGGCAACATTCAAAATGTCCTGGACCTTCGTCGTCTTGGAGCCGGCCAAGGTCTTCAAGGTGGCAGGGTCCACTCGATGGATAAGTTCGTCGATGCCGGCGTGGGCAAGGTCGAATCGGCCAGTCATTTCCAGGATCTTGAGCAATTTGTTGCGGGCCTCCTTGCCAATGACACCTCCACCCTTAAGCACAGGCATCACCTCCAGACAAGACAAATGCTCGATCCCATAGTCAGCCAGCATGCGGTTGCCAGCAAGCACTTTTCCTTGATAGCACCACCTGATGCCCAAGGAGCCAACCAAGTCACAGCCGTTACTGCTCTCTGCAGCCCCACAAGAGGGGACTGACGGCACCACCATGTCCGGAGACTGAGGGTGAGCAGTGCGGTGCCTGGCCTTCACATTATCGATAGTGTCTGAGGCCTCGACGGGCGAAGGATAAAGAACCACGTATCAAATAGATTCTTGATCTTGTCAAAACTTGGCTTTGATGCTTCTACACCTTCTCTTGATCCGGTTTGATTTTGTTGATGCCTGTCCCGGTATCCCTGCCTCGACGTCAAGGGTGATGGTCTTGCCAGTCAACGTCTTGACGAAGATCTGCATGCCACCACGCAGGCGCAGCACCAAGTGCAAGGTGCTCTCCTAGGTATCGATATCAACACTTCAACATGCTTTACTTTTCTATGAGTTATGAACTCAACCAGTTAAGGAACACTCAACACAAAAAAACAAAAGCATCCCAGATCGGTACCCGAAAGGCCTTTTGGATGTTATAGTCTGACAGCGTACGTCCGTCTTCCAGCTGCTTTCCAGCGAAGATGAGGCGCTGCTGGTCAGGCGGGATACCCTCCTTGGTTCACAAGCAGAGAACTTTGAGCTTGTCAGAGAGGCTTATGCAAGCAACTCTAAGCAAGGCATAGAAAACCAACCCTGCAACGCTATGTAACCGGATAAACTAAGATAGAAAAAACTAACATCATCACCCAAGGACCTTGTCTTGAATCTTGGCCTTCACATTATCGATAGTGTCTGAGGCCTCGACGGGCGAAGGATAAAGAACCACGTTTCAAATAGATTCTTGATCTTGTCAAAACTTGGCGTTGATGCTTCTACACCTTTCTCTTGATCCGACTTGATTTTGTTGATGCCTGTCCCGGTATCCCTGCCTCGACGTCAAGGGTGATGGTCTTGCCAGTCAACGTCTTGACGAAGATCTGCATGCCACCACGCAGGCGCAGCACCAAGTGCAAGGTGCTCTCCTAGGTATCGATTTCAACACTTTAACACGCTTTACTATACCACGAGTTATGAACTCAACCAGTAAAGGAAAACTCAACACAAAAAACAAAAGCATCCCAGATCGGTACCCGAAAGGCCTTCTGGATGTTATAGTCTGACAGCGTGCGCCCGTCTTCCAGTTGCTTTCCAGCGAAGATGAGGCGCTGCTGGTCAGGCGGGATACCCTCCTTGGTTCACAAGCAGAGAACTTTGAGCTTGTCATGCAAGCAACTCTAAGCAACGCATGGAAAACAACCCTGCGACTCTATGTAACCGGATAGACTAAGATCGAAAAAACTAACATCATCACCCAGGGACCTTGTCTTGAATCTTGGCCTTCACATTATCGATAGTGTCTGAGGCCTCGACGGGCGAAGGATAAAGAACCACGTATCAAATAGATTCTTGATCTTGTCAAAACTTGGCTTTGATGCATCTACACCTTCTCTTGATCCGATTTGATTTTGTTGATGCCTGTCCCGGTATCCCTGCCTCGACGTCAAGGGTGATGGTCTTGCCAGTCAACGTCTTGACGAAGATCTGCATGCCACCACGCAGGCGCAGCACCAAGTGCAAGGTGCTCTCCTAGGTATCGATTTCAACACGTCAACATGCTTTACTATACTACGAGTTATGAACTCAACCAGTAAAGGAAAACTCAACACAAAAAAACAAAAGCATCCCAGATCGGTACCCGAAAGGCCTTCTGGATGTTATAGTCTGACAGCGTACGTCCGTCTTCCAGCTGCTTTCCAGCGAAGATGAGGCGCTGCTGGTCAGGCGGGATACCCTCCTTGGTTCACAAGCAGAGAACTTTGAGCTTGTCATGCAAGCAACTCCAAGCAACGCATGTAAAAAAACCCTGCAACTCTATGTAACCGGATAGACTAAGATCGAAAAAACTAACATCATCACCCAGGGACCTTGTCTTGAATCTTGGCCTTCACGTTATCTGTCAGGGTGAACATGACGTGGTAGCAGCCACCATGCTGGACCGCTCCACATGAAGCAACCAATCAGTCAGTGCTTGTGCAAAAACTGAACCATGCCAAAAAAGAAATGCAGTCCATGGAGGCCTAGCGCGCACGCGAGGCCGACGACGAAGAAGCAGTGCCGTCAAGCTGCCTCTTGCAATTCGAACGTATGGCATAGTAAGGCCATTCGGCCCATCTGCCAAGCATAGAGCAATCTCTGCACTTCAGCTGACCGACGGTATCAGCTTCGTGCCCCACAACTATGTAGTGCTTTCCACGAGCAACAGCATCACGGTTGTGACACAGCAGCTTCAGCACCTGGTTACGTCGCACTCCAGTGAGGCCCTCAAGTTGGGCAGCTTCAGCAACACTGAGGTCTGACACAGCAAGCTTGGGTTGTCTCGCAACCGCACGCGCCTTCGGGACTGGAGCTGCAGGTGCAACAACGCCGACCACACCAGGTTGTTTGCCACGAACTCGCCGTTCAGGAGGTACAGGAGAAGGCTGGCAGACCTGAACCAGGCCAGCTTGGCCGTCAGCAGCACGCGCAGAAGAAGAGGCGCTGGCTAACGAGACTGCAATGTCTCTGTCGCGTCTCCACCGCCTTGCAGTTTCGAAGCCAATCGGAGCAGAGCTGCGCCACAGCGGCTCCGGAGGTCGGTCGAAGTTGGGCTGCCACTTGAGTTGCCGCTGAGCACCAGAGGTAATCGGGACTTCAAGGTGAGCCCGAACCCAAACTGCGCAGTAGTGGCGCCAAAAGTCCGCAGGCAGACTGAACCGCCCAGCCACACCTGGGGCAGTCTGAAAACGAAGTCGCCGAAGCACGTCGGGGAGCGCCACGTGGTCACCTGGGCAGAGGCGCGCGCCAAGGATGCCACTCAGACGCTTCGAAGCAACAGTGAAGAAGTGGGCCCGCTGTTGCAGAGTGGTCCTCGTAGCAGCAGTGTCCATGTCCGGCACCAAACCTGTGAGCAGCTGAAAGGCAATTGCAAGCTCACAAAACGACGTGGCGGCGACTGTTTCATCACCGACAGCAACTTGATCCACCCATTCAAGGCTGGCCCAAAACCAGTAGAGAGGTTCTATGAACCCCGAACCATACCGCCACGGGAGATGGTCAGGATGGCCCTTGTGTCGATCGCAAGCACTAGGCGCTGCCCCAATCCGCTGTGGCAAAGGAGGCAGGGAGCAACGAGCACCGCCGGCAGGTCGATCCCAACAGTACCTGGGAAGCGCAAGCTGAGGCTGCGCAAAAACGTCTTGCGTCTGCAGCTGTCGGCGAGGTTCTCCTTCAGGAAGAGTCTGTGCAGCAGCAGACGACGCACCACAAGGTTCAGCAGCAGGAGCACTGTCACACACAGGGCCTTGGGGGTCAGCAAGCAGTTGTCGTTGAGTCCAGGCCAGAGTGCGGGCTTCATGCACCGCAAGCAACGTGCGCTGCATGAGCTTGGTCACAAACTCACGCCGCCGAAAGAGGTCCTTAGCCGCAGCAGGGACGTCATGGAGCGCTGCTCCCTGGACCGCTAGGCGATCAGCCTCAGTGTTCCAGCAGGCTTCCTTGAGCGTGGCCCTGCCGGTTGCAATGTCAAGCTCGTCCGCGTGACCCTTGACAAAGGAAACTTGCAGCAGGTCCACACCGCGTTCGTCAAGCACCTGGCGAAGAGCACTCCAAAGGTCAACGTGGTCAGCCCAGGGCTGCGCAGAGCCGCACAGGAGCTTCTCGAAACCCACAACCACAGCCTCGTTGTCGCAGAGGTACTCGGTCAAGCACGGCGTCCACCTAGCAACTCGAAGCAGTGCGCGTAGCTCAGCTCTGTCAGAGTCCTGCACCGGGCCCTCAAGTGCGCACGCAAAGTTGAGAGGGTGCGCGGGCCCGAAGAAAGCACCAAAGCCAGCACGTGCCAGGAGGGTGCCCTGGTTTGCGCAGGCACCGTCGCCAGCAACGACCAAGCGGCCTCCACGAAACCACTCCTCAACGGACTCGTCGTTGTCGTAGTCGGCAGGCACCGGGTCGGCAAGGGTGTAGGGCGGCAACCGTGAGTGCAGCGCAACCAAGGAGGGCTCGACCGGGAGGATGCCAGCGTTCCAAAAGCAAGGGGCCCAACTGTCCCTTTCAGCCTGAGAAGTCTTGGCAAGGAGCTCCTTGCGACAGTCAGCAAACTGCGGGCACTCCTTGGAGACGTGAAGCGAAGTCTCAGGTACTCCCAAAGTGCAGTGCGGGCACGTAGGGTCTCCGCCACGGTGTTTAGCAGAACGTTCTTCAGTTGCAACTCGGCCCTCCCAAAGAAAACGAAGTCTGCTGCGCTGAGTCGCGTCCAAGGTGGAGCCACGGAGCAGAGCAGTAGTGGCCACGTAGTCGACCCCAGCCTGGATGCCCTGCAAGTCCTTCCTGGCTGGCACCAGAGAGAAGAGGCTCTGCCGAATGGCCATGCGGAGGCCATGCTGGAACCACCCCTTGACCGGAGAGCACAGGTCCAGAGCACCGTGACGAGTTTGGACAGTGAAGGGCTCTTCCCAGGTCCACTGCAGTTTTTGGCACTGCCTTCTCAGGTGGCAGCACACACCAGCCTCGTCCCACAAAGAGTGAGTGTCACGAAACTCCCACACCTCACGAAGCAGCTCCCGGGCCATCGGCAAGCGAAGGAGCTGACGACGAGCCATGTCAAAAGCCTGGTAGGGGACAGCCATCTCCAGGAAGAGCCTGTGCCCACGCCAAGCCAAGCCCATGCAGGTGTACTTGCACCGGAGGGCGCGCTGTCCACAAAGAGCTTGGAGCATGTTCTGGTCGAAGTCGTGGGCCACTGACGTCGACGGCTCCTCCAGCTCCAAGCCGTAGCGGCCGCCCGATGTCTTCAGCGAGAGGAGCGTGGCTTTCTCCTCCAAGGGCACCGGGAGCTTGACGATGGGGTGAATCTCAGTCTGTGCTGCAATCACCCGCTGGTCTTGTAGCGTCCGGTCAGGCTGGTTGTCCATGGGGATGAGCACGCCAAGGAGCTGGCGGGGACGTAGATGGCTTTGGACCTCAGGGTCGATAAGTGTGCTCCCTAGGAAGCATTCAGGCTCACTGTCCGTTTCTTCCCTTTCCTCCGTATCTTTGTTAGGTTGTATGCGGACCTTCTTCGCCCTCCCTTCCTTCAGAGTCTTGGTTTTTCTCTTCATCGCTCCTGTTCTTTGGCAAGTAAAGAAACGGGGCTCGATGACTGATATTCTTGAGCCAAAATGGCTACGGTCGTTTCCAATGAGTTTAACGTGTGATCCTCGGGATCTTGCTCCTGGATCTCCCTTCGTGCCAGTAAGTCGAGTCATAACCGTTCATCATTAAATTGAACAGACTCTCACCCCCTCCAGAACTCGCGTTCCTCCAAGTGCCTACGCTTGGGTTCGTGGGTTCTCGAGACACGACCTTCGGGACGAGCTCAGACTCGATCGTCTTGTAGCCCTTGTCGAATTCGAATACGTTGTCGCTCAACTTGAGGGTGCTTAATCCGTTCCTCCAATCGATGGCCATTCGTTCATAGACGGTCGTGTCGTCTAACTTTCGCCACATAGAACGTATCCCCTCGTAGGCACCTTCGGTTTCGGTAGGGGTCTCCTCGCTCATGAACTCCTTACTGTAGAGATTATTATCGTACATCTCTCCCTCGTCGAAGCAAGAATCAACCCCTATCATGCACTGTACAAACCACTCCGCCGGGATTTCCCTCCCGCATACTGCTGCAGCTTTCATAATCTTGCACAGATGTTTATGAACTGCCACCTTGCTGACTCCTGAGTCTCTTACGACTATGTGATCCGTCAAAAAACATCTTTTATCTGCAACAGAATTCAAGACGCAACTGACCAGCCCCCTGGTCTTGGCCTTCACGTTATCGATCGTGTCTGAGGCCTCGACGGGCGAAGGATATAGAACCACGTTTCAAACAGATTCTTGATCTTGTCAAAACTTGGCGTTGATGCTTCTACACCTTTCTCTTGATCCGACTTGATTTTGTTGATGCCTGTCCCGGTATCCCTGCCTCGACGTCAAGGGTGATGGTCTTGCCAGTCAACGTCTTGACGAAGATCTGCATGCCACCACGCAGGCGCAGCACCAAGTGCAAGGTGCTCTCCTAGGTATCGATTTCAACACTTCAACATGCTTTACTATACTATGAGTTATGAACTCAACCAGTAAAGGAACACTCAACACAAAAAAACAAAAGCATCCCAGATCGGTACCCGAAAGGCCTTTTGGATGTTATAGTCTGACAGCGTACGTCCGTCTTCCAGCTGCTTTCCAGCGAAGATGAGGCGCTGCTGGTCAGGCGGGATACCCTCCTTGGTTCACAAGCAGAGAACTTTGAGCTTGTCAGAGAGGCTTATGCAAGCAACTCTAAGCAAGGCATAGAAAACCAACCCTGCAACGCTATGTAACCGGATAAACTAAGATAGAAAAAACTAACATCATCACCCAAGGACCTTGTCTTGAATCTTGGCCTTCACATTATCGATAGTGTCTGAGGCCTCGACGGGCGAAGGATAAAGAACCACGTATCAAATAGATTCTTGATCTTGTCAAAACTTGGCTTTGATGCTTCTACACCTTTCTCTTGATCCGACTTGATTTTGTTGATGCCTGTCCCGGTATCCCTGCCTCGACGTCAAGGGTGATGGTCTTGCCAGTCAACGTCTTGACGAAGATCTGCATGCCACCACGCAGGCGCAGCACCAAGTGCAAGGTGCTCTCCTAGGTATCGATATCAACACTTCAACATGCTTTACTATACTATGAGTTATGAACTCAACCCGTAAAGGAAAACTCAACACAAAAAAAAACAAAAGCATCCCAGATCGGTACCCGAAAGGCCTTCTGGATGTTATAGTCTGACAGCGTGCGCCCGTCTTCCAGTTGCTTTCCAGCGAAGATGAGGCGCTGCTGGTCAGGCGGGATACCCTCCTTGGTTCACAAGCAGGGAACTTTGAGCCTGTCATGCAAGCAACTCGAAGCAACGCATGGAAAACAACCCTGCGACTCTATGTAACCGGATAGACCAAGATCGACAAACTAACATCATCACCCAGGGACCTTGTCTTGAATCTTGGCCTTCACATTGTCGATAGTGTCTGAGGCCTCAACCGGCGAAGGTTAAAGATACACGTAACAAAAACATTCTTAAGTTGATCTTATCACAACTTGGTTTTGATGCAACTCCAAATTTTCTTTTTGATCCGAACTGATTCTGTTGATGTCTATCCCGGTATCCCTGCCTCGACGTCAAGGGTGATGGTCTTGCCAGTCAACGTCTTGACGAAGATTTGCATGGCTACAGCAAGCTTCGAATTGACTACTCAGGCTTGTCTGGGGACGAAGTGTCCTGTGGCGGCTTGATCCAAGTTAGGCGCCCATACCTTCCACAATGCAGCCTTCCAGCGTACAAAGATCTAATGCCGTGGCATGATGCACATACATTGCTATGTAATGTAATATTGTGTGGATTCCTTTATGTATGTAGTTGCCGATCTAGATTTGCCATCTTCTTCCACCACGACATCAGAAACATACACACGTACATGCATGTCTGCATACATGCGTACAGAATACATGCTGTACTTAGATTTCTATTTTCGTATTACACTATTCTGCAAGGACAGGGTCTTCGTATACTTTGGGATTCAGAGTTGATACCGAGGCTATGACAAAAGTCAGAGTGGGGTTGACGGGTACAGGGATAAGGAAGTAGGTTCTTGGGTTTAGGAATCTGAAAGAGGGCTCCGGGTATCGGAAGTAGGATCTAGAGCCCGGGTATGCATGCCCGAAGGCATCCGGGGCCGTCTGCAAGAAGAAGTCCGGCTCAAGCCCAAAACCCATATACCTCTAGTTAGTATTATTATTATTACTATTATTATTATTCTTATTATTATTATTCTTCTTATTAATATTCTTATTATTACTATCAGTATTATTCTTAATATTATTTTTAGTATTATTATTAGTATTATTAGTATTACTATTATTAGAGCAGTTTTTGAGTGACTGCAAGAAGCTCAGAAACCCAGGACGGGCTCCCAGTGTCGACAGCCGGAACGCTGAACATAGCTCGGACCAGGTCCTGGCCAAGCTTAATGGGGACTTGGGCTCTTAGGGTTTCTTTAAAGGGATCTATAAGGGTCCCTTTAAAGGGATCTATAAGGGTCCCTTTAAAGGGATCTATAGGGTTTAGGTTTTAGTTTAATCAAAGGGGAAAAGGAGGGACCCTTAATGGGGACCCCTACCCTAGAATGGGCTATATAATGGGTATATCATAGCTATATTCTGGGTACCTAGGGGTCCTTCTTAATTGCTCAAGGAGCGAAAGCCCGAACTAGGAGGTATAAAAAGGGTTTTAGTAGGGTAACTATAATTTCAACCCATATTCGGGGACTCATAAGCTCACTTATAACTACCCATGAACCTCCAAGTAGATCCGCTACCCCAGGATTTGGTTTTTCAATAGAGGCTTAAAATTAGGGCTTAATCTCTCAAGATTAGATGGCATGCCAAGCCCCCGACGCTTTCTCTCGACTTCTAGACAGCAGATGAGATAAATGGAATGACTGCATGTGTCCATGATCCCCTGACAGGCACATCTCCGCTAAGAAATCCGGCTCCAAGACCGCTGTATTTAATCTAGAGGCCTTATTAATCAGAATAGGGTTTTGGGGCCCATTATACTCTACTCATAATAATAAGGAACCCCCAAAGTAGTATTGATAATTATTTAGGCCCCTATAGTACATACCCGAGCGTAAACATGGAATCTCATCTCATCGGCCCTGTAAACCAGGACGCTGAATCCCAAACCTTCAACACAGGTTTAGGGTTTAGGGTTTAGGGTTCAGGGATTAGGGTTCAGGGTTCAGGGTTCAGGGTTTAGGGTTTAGGGTTTAGGGAATCTACTCCCGAACCCTACAACCCTGACAGGTCCGGAGCCCCAAGCCAGAATAAATGCGGTTTGCCTGAGCTTTAGGGCTTAGGCTCTTGAAGCTCTACGGCTCTAGGGGGCGTAGGAATAATCGATGATGTTTTTAAAGCTATAATTATCAGCAGCTTTACTGCTTTCAGATCGGAGGCTTGAACCCCGTAGCTTGCTACTTAGACTTAGTGTAATGTATGCAAGAATACGACCATGATACGAGAATGCTAGTACTATAAGCAGGTCCTTAGGTATACTGATTTACCACTACCTATACATAAATATGATCACTATAACAGCACCACTATGCACATGTGTATATATATATATATATATATATATATGATTGCGGATCGATTCATATATATATATATATACATATATATATATACAGAATATATGACGAAATAGAGTACAATATTATATTCGATTGGGTTAATTATAAATATATATATATATATATACATTACTATAACATATATATATATGTATATTATATATACATACATATATACATATTTATATATATATATATACATATTGTAACACCAACCCTCACTCTCCATTCCGCCTGCGCAGCCTGGATGCTCGCGTCTCGGCTCGGCTCAGGTTGATCCGGGCCGAGCTCGTCCAGCGCATTGTTCATGGCCTTGGTCTCGGGGCTTGCGGTTTTTTTGTTTTGTTGAACGCCTTTTTCCGCCTGCAGTTAAGATCAGCGGGCTTGCGGTTTAGGGTTTATAGGGTTTTTGTTTTGGGGGTTTGGGGCATATGTTGAGGATGTTGCTGTTTTTAATGGGCCGTTTTCCACATGCAGAACAATTAGAAAAGGTTTAGGGCTCAGGGCGTAAAGTTGAGCAGTGGGTTTGGGCTTATGTAGTGTGTAGGCTTGGCTTGGGGGTCAGAGTACAGGGCTCCAGGTTCAGCGCCTGCGGAGTTGTTGAGGCCTTGACCGCATAGGGTTTGGGCGGGGCTGCACGATTTTGGGTACTGTCGCTGTATACAACGTAGAATGTAGACTACAGTGTGGATGCGTGCCGGTGAATGAAGGATTGCGATCTGGGTGCGGCAGGAGGATGCGAGAGTTGCCGGGGGCAGGCACAACTAGCAAGAACTCTGGACACGGTAGAACTGCATGGTGGTGACGTTGGTTGTTGAGCCATGAGGAATGACGACGACGACAATGGTGATGATGATTGAGATCGGGTAAGAGATGAAAGGGGGCAATTAGGAGGACGAGCACTTTTGGCCATGGCGACTGCAAACTCTTTGATCCCCAGACTAGACCTGTACTGATGCTTTCCGGTCTCCGGGTGCCGCACACTAAAAGTGATCCGGCGGCTCTTTCTCCGCCTGACTCGTGGAGGGGACCAGGCCCAGAAGCTCTGGGTTCTTCGATGGTTGCTGCCGTGTCGGAATCCTGAAGCCCAAACCCTGAAACGATGGAGACCCCTGGCTCTGGTGAGAGCCTCTCTTCGGTACCACCCGAAGCGACCGGAGACCGCGGTGAAGTTGCTGCCTGGCTTGAAAGTGACAAAAATACAACGAGGATTCTAACATCCTTCCGTCGCGCTCTGAGCCAGTCGTGTCGTGACGCCTAGGACATGGAAACCCGAGCAAAAGCTATCCATAACTTCACCGATGTTTCTGGAAACAACAACCTAGCAGCACC